TTTTCTTTTTTTTTTTTTTTGTAAATTCTGGTTGGCAAAATAATTTTAATAATTCCTCCTTAGAAAGACATTACTTTGTATTTCATTTTATTAAATAATTGAAAGAATAAGTTTACGTCTACATATTCTATATTCAGACAAACAAGGCTTTCACTTACAGGATGTTAGTTAGATAAGGATATTTTAGAAAAAGAGGAGAAGAAAAGACTTGATTAAGTAAGCCACATGGCACAGAGACTGGAATCTAAAAACTTCCTAAAAATGTGTTGAGTTTAACAAATGCCTTATTACTTAAAAAAAAAAAAATCGTAAAACCTGGAGTATAATAAATTCTAGTGGGAGGCCATGGATTTGGCAGTTAGGACTAATAATTATGGTAGATTTTGGAACATAGTGGCTGACAGCATGGCTCTGGGTAAAGTTTCTCTGGGAGCACAGATCTCTATTGACATATGTGAGGCACATTCTCACAGTTCTCTGCCCCCGTGGCACCCCACACATCGTTATTATAGCACTATTATAGCACATTGTTTTGTAACTGTTTATTTGTCCATCTTTTCTACTAGATATTGAACTCTTAGAAACCAGATTTTTTTCTCTCATTTCTATCTTATTCAGCGCTGTATTCCTAGTAATTATTATAAATCTGACCCATATAGGAAACCTTCATTAGTATTTTATTGTACTGGCCAATAGGATTTTTTTCTTCTTTCCAAAACTATTTAAAATTTTACTGTACATGTACATTATCATTTTTATTCTTTATTTTATATTTACATACAAAATTTGTATACATTGTATTTAATATATATATATATATTTATATACATATGTTGCATATATTTCCTCATCCACATTGTGTTCCCTATGATCATTACCACATATTGCTCTTATAAAACCAATCGCCACTGATCTATGTTCATTATCACTCCATCTTTTCACATCCATTACCCCTTCCCACCAACCACCAAACTCTGTGGCCCAGTGGTTATTCTCCATCCACCTCCTAGCCCTCCTGTCTCTCTTCCTTTCTCCTTTTGGACCATTATACACATCTTACTAGTGATCATTATTTTTGAAAAAAAATTTGTTTTATTAATTTTAATGAACATTTACAGAGATTTTGGATTTTCATTCATTCATTGTTGCACTTTTTTTTCCTTTACCCTCTGCCCCCACCCAGTTCACTCCTCTCTTTGAAAAGCAAAAGATAAACTTCTTCGTTGGTATATAATCCCCCCGACCTCAACCCCGCCTGCCCAAAATGCACTCCACTATGCAACCTTAATTTCTGGATTCCTGTGATAATCATAATGTGCTATCATATATCACTTTTAAACTGTTCTCTCCCTCATCTGTTTCAATTCAGTATACATGATCTATCTAGTTTTTCTCAGTCTTACCCCAATCCTGATGTCAGTCACTTTCTATAACAGTGGCATCATGCAGTATTTGTTCTTTTGTGACTGAGATATTTCACACAACATTAAGTCCTCGAGGGTCACCCATTTTGAATAATATTGCATAAGTTTCTTGTTTTTCAATGCAGCATAGTATTATTCCATTGTGTGAATATACCACAGCTTCTCTATCCATTTTTTTGTTGATAGGCACTTAGGTTGTTTCCAACTTCTTGCTAATGTGAACAAAGCCGTGATGAACATGGGTGTGCATATATCTGCTTGGATGTCAGTTATGGTCTCTTTGGGGTATATTCCCAGTAGTGGAATTGCTGGGTCAAATGGTATCTCTATTTGCATCTTTTTGAGAAAGTGCCGTACCGCCTTCCACAGTGGTTGCACCATATTGCCCTCCCACCAACATAAATAAGGTTCCAGTTTCTCCACAACCTTTCCAGCATTTGTAGCTTGCGTTCTATTAAATTTTGCTACTCTGACTGGGGTAAGATGATATCTCAGAGTTGTTTTGATTTGTATCTCTTTTAGAGCTAGGGATTTTGAACATATCTTCATGTACTTGTTGGCCATCTGAATGTCTTCTTTTGTGAACTATCTGTTCATATCCCGTACCCATTTTTCAGCTGGATTATTATTTTTAAAAAATATTCTTATGCATTATTTATCCTTATGAGACTGAATTAGATCACTCAACACTGACAAATATCTCTAAATCTATAGTCTAGTTCATGCAGCTTTTTCCACATAAGTTCAATAACATCTGCAACCATTGCTCACTTTCCTAAGTACCTAGAAAAACAAGGTTCTAGGTAAAAATTTTTGCTCTCATAGTTATTTAAATTTAGGTGTATTTTAATTTTTCATTTCAGGAACAATTATTTGCTTCAGAAACACTACCATATATATAAAATGACTATTTTTTATATCCACTTATGATTTTAGGACAGATTTTAGTTACTCTACTAAGTGATTAATCCTAATTTTTCATTTCTTAAAATAAATGAAATATTAAAAATACATCAACATTATGGAATACTATGCAGCATTCAAGAGCAGCAATTTACAAAAAATATGTAATTTGGGAGAGACTGGAGAGCATTATGCTGAAAGAACTAACTCTGTCTCACAAGGACAAATGCTGCATAAGATGATTATTATAAAAATAGGATAACTCATTAAACAGTTTTGGGAATCCAAGGGAGGGAGGAAGTGGTAGCAAAGAGGTGACAATAGGTAAGAATGAAATCACAGAATTGCATAATCTGGTGGGTGGGGGAAGGAGATAAAGGAAATGAGAAAAATTCAGTAGGGACCTAAAAGATAGGATAATGGGGGGCATAGTCCAATGGTGATTAATTTTATGGAACCTAATGAATTGGATTTATTGTATAGAATACACTGTGAATGAAGAATAGTGTGAAATACAATGTATATGAACTTTGTAAGCAAACCGTTTTAAAAGAAAAATTCTAAAAAACAAACCAGGTACACCTAAATCATTAGTTTCATAAACTTAAAATTATTTATTATTTACTTCTATTGACTTATAAGAAATTGAATATCATATGCTTATGTGTGTGTACAGGAAGATGTCAACCACCACTATAAAAATAAACAGCAACTATACACATGTGTATTACCTGATGAACTACAAAGCTCACTCTGAACACTCAAGTCAAGGCTATGGATTAGACAAACAATTACTCATTTGCAGGTTCAAATTGAATTTGAAGAAAATAAAAACAAATCCATGAGGACCAAAATTACAACCTTTAGTGTATTTCAATTGAGTTTAAAATCCAAATAAAGAATAAACTTGTTGTACTGAAAATTAATGTCCGAATATCAGATGAGCTGTTGACATCAAGGACATTATCCATGAAGAAGGCAAAAGGTTATTACCAATAAAACAGAAAGAAAGAAAAGACCAAAATGGATGTTAGAAGAGACTCTGAAACTTGCCCTACTAGGGCACAGAGAAACCAAAACCAAAAAAGAAATGCTGAACGAAGAGAGATAAACAGAAGATTTCAAAGTACAACTTAAGAAGACAAAGTATTATGACTAAATGTGCAAAGAGCTGGAGCTAGGAATCCAAAAGAAAAGAACCTACTCAGTATTTCTCCAGCTTAAATAAATGAAGAATACATGTAAGTCTTGAGTTGTAAAACTGGAGAATCCTATTGTTGTTGTTAGGTGCTGTTGAGTCGTAGACGACTCATAGAGACCCTATGAAGGAAAGGCCTAAGCCCTGTTGGTACATAGAGTTTCCGGAGGGAAGCCATTTCGGAAGTGGATGCCGCTCCTGCTTCCAGGCTTGTTTTAGTCCTAGAGACAAAATATTGGATAATAGAGAAAGCATCAAAAGAAGATGGAAGGACTGTACAGAATCACTATACCAAAAAGAATTGGTAGACACTGAACCATTTGGGAAAGCATTAGAGGATAAATAACCACTGGGAAAAACAAACAAACAAAAGAATGTTAAGTTTCTCTGGAGGCAGTGTAAAAAAAAAAAGAAATAAATAAATAAAGCCTTAGGAATTGATGGAATACTTAATGAGGCATTTCAACAAACAGATGCAGCACTGAATGTGCTTAAAGGCCTATGCCAAAAAAATTTGGACGACAGCTACCTAGACAACTGATTGGAAAAGATTCCTATTCACACTCATTCCAAAACATAGAAAATAGAGAAAATATATAACTAATATCACATGTAAGTAAAATCTTGCTGAAGATGATAAAAATAGACTAGAGCAGTACATCGACAGGAAATTACCAGACATTCAAGCTGGATTCAGGAGAATTTGTGACAAGAGAGATACCATCCCTAATGTCAAATGAATCTTGGATGAAAGTATAGAATAATAGAAAGGTGTTTACTTGTGGTTCATTGACTATGGAAAGACATTTGTCTGTGTGGATCATAACAAGCTATACTTTGAGAAGAATGAGAATCCCATGATACTTAACTGTGCTCATAAGGAAGCTATACATAAACCAAGATGCAATTGTCCAAACAGAACAAGGTAATTGGTCATAAGCATGGCTTAAAATCAGTAAAGGTGTGCACTAAGATTGTATTCTTTCTCCATAACTGTTCAACCTTTTTGACAAGTAAATTATTCACAAAGTTCACTATATGAAGAATATGACATTAGGATTGGAGGAAGACTATAGCCTTCAAAATGGATTACATACCAACATATTAAAAAAAACCAAACCTAAATCCTCACTACTGGATCAATAGGCAACACCATTTCAGATGGAGTAAAGATTGAAGTTGTCAATGATTTCATTTTACTTGCATCTACACATTACTTGGATCAACAATAAACACCCAGGACAGGAGTAATCAAGAAAAGAAACAAGTACATCATTGGGAAAATTTGTTCTCAAGAAATTCTTTAATCTCCTAAAAAGCAAAAATATATTTTTTCCTTATTAATACAATAGTTATTTATATTTCCTCAGTCAAACCCTAATCAAATCACTTTCATACAGGGAAAGGAGAATATAGGGTAGATGAGATACTGGAGGGAGAAAAACAATGAACTATGGGAGGTGGAGACAGCTCCTTCACATGGCAAAGAGAATCAGAAAGATCACCATCAGGCAAAAGAGCCCCAAGGCCTCTGAGAGGACAAATCCCAGAATGGTGTAGTGAAAGAGTTGCTGCAGCAGCAAAGGATTCCTGGCATAATCAGTGATGACGCTCTCAAACATACTTCCAGTTCCACCTCCAAAGCCAGCCACTCCAACTGTGGCAGCTCCAGCCCCAATAAACTTGGCTGCTGTGCCAATACCACTTGAGATGCTGCTGGTTTGGAAACTGGAACTAGGAATAAATGCAATCAAGGAACACAGGGCTGTCAAGCAGCTGAAGGTCTCATCTCTCAGTGTCTCTGTTTCAACACCACTGTAGACAATGGACGGCTCAGCAGCTGAGAGGCACTCCTGATCAAGGAAGAGGTAATGATAAAATTGGTGAAAGCATGCTTTTTCAGGGGATGAGCTGCTGTGGCAGGAAAGAAGTTCCTAGTGCCGAGAAGAGGAAGAGAGAAGGATATACATTTGAAGACTAAGATGTGCCTGATTGAAACCATGACATCTGAAAGAGATTTGCGTGCATCTGAAAATTGGACAATAAAAAAAGGAAGACTGAAAAGGAATCAACATCTTACATTGCGTTGTTGCAAATATAAACCATGAATTGCCAAAAGTCCAAATACTTACCATGAATATACCATGGACTGACAAAAGTCTTGGAGGAAGTGCAACTGGGGTGCTCCTTTAAGGCGAAGATGGTGAAACTTATAGGGGAAGGAAAACTTAGATAAAAACATCAAAAATAACAACAGATGAGTGGCACATCAAAACGTGGTGCTGTGGAGCAGATACAAATAATCGCTGAAAATTTACCTTGAAAAGTTTACAAATAAGAATTTAAAAATGATCATTTTAGTGGTTATATTTTTATATTCATAGAAGTCAAAGATTTCACTTACGGTTAATATATGCAAGGTCATTTCATCATGATATGGTAAAAAATTAATACTAAAAGTAAAGATACTGTACACCTCACAGTAAGTGGTTTTAAACCACAGTGATAAAAAATAATTTTTAATGAACAATACAGAGAAATTATCTACAAATTAAAGAAAACAAAACCCATGCGAGGTTATGTCAAAATCATTTGCCAGAATACACGTGCAAAATCGTATGAAAGAAAAATTAGTAAAATTAAAGCTCTATAAAATCTGAAATAAGAAATTCGGTGTTAGAAAAATTCCAGTTCTTTGTCAGTTGATAAATGTAATTTATTTCCAATAAAAATATCAGTAGGATTTTTAAATAACAATGGTGTCACTCAGGAGACTAAGGTGCACCTGATACAGGCCATGGTCTTTGCTATCACTTATGCATTAGAGAGTTGGACAATGACGAAGGAGGATAGAAGGAGAGTTGATGCCTTTGAGCTGTGGAAATGGAGAAGAGTATTGAGGGTACCATGGACTGCCAAGAAAACAAACAGATTCTTCCTGGAGAGGGTTAAACCACGCTGCTCCTTGGAGGCAAGGATTCTGAGGCTTGATCTAACATACTTTGGACATGTTGTAAGGAGAGACAGGTCTTTAGAGAGGGACATCATGCTGGGTAAAGTAGAGGGACAGCACAGGAGGGGAAGACCCTCTATGAGGTGGATTGATTCAGTGACTGGGGTAATCGGGATGGGTGTGTTAGAGGCAGTGTGATTGACACAGGATAGAGTAGGGTTTAGGGCTGTTGTGCATAGGGTTGCTATGAGTCACAAGCAACTCAATGGCACACAAAAACAACAACAACAACAACAACATTAACAGATTCTTCATTTTCTCTCGGTTCTCAAATTCTTAGAAATAGATAAACATAGTAGAACAATGGCCCAAGTTTTAAAAATTATAAAGACAGAGGAAGACATGCTGTGCACCACATGGTGTGCCTACAGTACTTTGAGGAAAACACTGCTGTTTACCTGCACCACTCAGGACCTATTAAGCTCAAGTAGAAGGACAGGAGATCTTGAGTGGGGCAGAGAGTACAGTTCTGGAAAGGAACAACAGGCTTCCTGCTTCCCATTAAGGTACTTTGTGGGAAACACTACCTTCAGACATTTCCCCATTTGATAGGTTTTATTTTCTTGTCAAATATCAGCTGACTGTAGATGTTGTTGTTAGGTGACGTTGAATCGTAGATGACTCATAGCAACCCTATAAACAAAAGACCTGAACACTTGTATAATTTTCATCATTTCTCCAAGTTCACAGAGTTTCCAGAGGCAAACTTTTAGGAAGTGGGTGTCACTCTTTCTTCCAAGCTTGTTTTAATCAGGGAGCTCCACCAAACACTGCCACTATGGGTTACCATTATCCCATTTGACATGTTAGTGCCACAGTGTTTAGCATCACAGCAACCACGAGTTATCTCTGTACAGCAAATGGACAGACCAGTGCTGTACCACTTAGAAGAACCATAGGTAGCTAGGTTTATTTCTGGGTTCTCAAGTCTGTTCCAGGAATCTATGTGCTTGTCATTATACCAGAACGATGCTGTTTTGGTTGCTGCCACTCTTAAGGTCAGGGAGTAAGTTCTATGCCTCACACGTAACTGTTGTTTCTCAGAAGTGTTTTGTTTATTTGGAATCTTTTTCCTTTCCAAATAAATTTAACAATTTTCCTTTTGATCTCCTTGAAAAATGAATTTGATATCTGTATTGCCATTGTATTCAACATGTAGATCACTTTTGGTAGGATTATCATTTTCACTTCCTATTCATGAACAGGGACCATTTTTGCATTTATTTATTTTTGGTAGTTTCCACATTCTGTTAGATCACATATTTGGGAATGAGAGTAAATATGTATCTCTTTGAGTTAGTTAGTCAGGCAGCTGTTCTCAAAATTTCCTGCCATAATTTGGGGAGCACGTCCAGGCTTGCATCTGTATTTAAAACGTTTCAATTAGTATGTCAACAATTCCTTTGGGCCTTATTTTTATACTAATGCCTTTATTGAAGCTTGTACTTACACCTTCCTTATTATTGGTCTTGATCATATAATATTTCCTGAAATATTTCAGGTTTGGGCAGTTCTCTTTGGTAAAGTGATTCTGTGTATTGTCACCATCTTTACTGATGTTTCTTTAATAATATAAGATTTTTTCCATACCATCTTTCAGTTCAACTCAATGCTTGGATTTGTTTTTCTTGTCTTTCTACTTCAGAAATGCTGAGTGAATACTTCCCTTTTTATTCTCCATTTCTAGGTTTCTGAATATTCTGCTATCATAGTTTTTCTTTCTTTTTGAACTGCCCTTCAAAATCTTCTGTTAAGTGCTCGCTTCGGCAGCACATACACTAAAAAACTGGAACGATACAGAGAAGATTTGCATGGCCCCTGCGCAAGGATGACACGCAGATTCGTGAAGCGTTCCATAAAAAAAAAAAAAAAAATCTTCTGTTAAGCTCTTTACTTCAATATTTCTTCCCTCTGTTTTTATTTCTTTTCTCAACACTCTAGGGCAATTTTCAGTGCCACTGTTTGTTTTGTTGGGTTCCCCCCTTCCTCTTCCTCTTATGTCCTTGCGGTGTCATTTTGCTCTCTTCATGGATGATATCTTTATTATCATCCCACAACTCACCTGGTCTTCTATCCTTTGTGTTCAATACCTCAAACCTTTTTTTAAAAATTATTTTT